CAAAGAAAGCTTTTTATATGTCTTTAATACTTTTCCCTATCAGTGCTATGTCATCAGCATATGCAAGATGCTGAAGGGGCTGATTGTAGAAAATGCCCATTTGTTGTGGGTCTTGGTTTCCCTCAAAAAGTATCCTGTTATTGTTCCCTGGGTGTCAATATGTATGCTTCTTATAACAATTTCTCTTTGGTTAAAAAGCATACAAGACAGTGAGAAGCCCTGTCTTAAGCTTCGTCTAAACTAAAATCGCCTTGAATATTCTCCTTGAACTTTGATGTTGCTTTTTGAGTTGGTTAATGTTACATGTATCAGTCAAGTCAGTTTGTTGGGTATGCCAAACTCCTGCAGAATTGCAAATAGATATTTTCTTTTGATGCTGTCATAGGTCATTTTATGGTCCAAATAGAGTTGATGATGTTATATTCATAACATTTCTCTGATAGGCATCTGATGGTGAAAATCTGATCAGTCATTGATCTGTTTTGCCTGAATCCACATTGGTATTCACCTAGTATTTCTTCAGTGTATGGTTGTAGCCTTTTGGCTATTAGTTTTGTCAGTATTTTGTATGTAACATTTAATAGGGAATATCCTCTGTAGTTTGTGCACTAAAGTTTGGACCCTTTCTTGTGTATTGGGATTATTAATGCTGTTTCCCATTCTGTTGGAATTTTCTCTTGTGGACAAATTTTAGCTATAAGTTTATGTGTCTTAGTGTGTAGTTCTCTTCCTCTATATTTGATAAGTTCTGCTGTGATGAGGTCTCCTCCAGGGGCTTTGTGGCTTTTCATATCATTGATTACTTATGCAGTTTCTTCTAGAGTTGGGGAGTTTATAAAAGGGTCTGGTCCTCTATGTGGTGGTTGAAAATCTTCATCTTGTCTATTGTCTGCATTTAGTATGTCCTCAAAATATTCAGGAGCCTCTCAAGTACTTTCCTATTTTCTGTAATTAATTCTCCATCTTGGCTCTCACACAGTTGCGGTCTGGCTTGGTATTCATTCTTTTCAACTTTTATCTTCATGTACATTCCTCTGATGTTTCCCTTTCTTGATAAGTGTTTTCTTTCTTTTAGCTTAGCTTTTTCCCATTCTCTCTTTTTCTTTCTACACATTTTGTGGCGTTCCTTCTGGCTTCCTTGTATGTTTGTGTCGTCTTTCTGGTTTCCCTTTGTATCAAGATCATTTGTGCTTTGTTCTTTTCTTTGACAATTTGTCTGCATTCATTATCAAACCAGCCTACTCTTTTCTGCTGATCTTTGCATAGCATTTTGTATCCTATTCCACTCAATACTAATACTATTAATATAAAACATGTTGAGTAGTGGGAGGGCTAGTTGTGATTAGGAAGCAGCCATACCAGAAGAGAAATATATATAAGAGATAGTCAATTTTCCCTACCTTGTAATTAAAGGATGAGCTCTCATCTCTTTCAATTTCATCCGCAGCTGATTGGCTCATCCGCATAACAAAGTTTAGGATAACAATTACCTAGAGATAATTAATGAAAAATTTGTTAAAATTTTATAAAACATTTTCTTTTTTTTAAAATTTATTTATGTCACCTTCTATTTGGTCAGCACATAATAATAATAATAATTAGTGGTCTTTTATAGCGCGTTACCCCAGCCTAGGGCTGGGCTCACGGGCTGTACATTAAAATATTATCAAAAGAGACATAATCATGACATTAAAATCAAATACAATTATGAAATAAAGAACAGCATGAACCCCATGACTTAAAGATATTTAAAGATAAAAATAACAGTTAAGGAGTGGCTCAGTGGTTGCTTCCTTGGGGGATTTTACAGAACATGAAAACATATGTATGATAACAAAACAATCCTCTGATGCATCATAGGATTGAAATAAAATATTTCATAACTTGAATGCACAACTACTAAAAATATTGTTTTCCATTGCAAAGATCAACCATGAGGGATAATCTCAAATCCTCCCCATGGTAAATTGGTTGTAGCTTTGGTATTGGTAGAGGGAGATAAGTAGGGCACATTCCATGACATTGTCGTTGAAGGAGCATCGTTTTCAACATTAAAACTGCGAACTGTTTAATCAATTTAATGAGTTCATGACCTTACATAGATAATAGATACTTACCTCAGCAATTTTAAGAAATGGCTCAGTCAGGAATATAATGTTGCTGTAAATCCATATGACAATCCATGGGGTTAAAGTTATTGGTATAAAAATTAGCAGGACAAATAATATGAGGCTGAAAAATGGTATTGCTTGTTTCTGTTGAAAGATAAAAGTGTCATTATTAAGAAATTGTAATAACAAAATTTAGTTTGGAAGACCTACGTAAAAACAAAACAACAGAAAAATTATTTTTTTTTAGAACAAACATTGAATGTGTAGAAAATTTCTTAACACTGCGAATTAAACAAAAACAATTAGTTTGTAAATTATTTTTTGACTTTTTCAAGGATTTTACCTTTTCACTTACTAAGCTGTAAGTTGGTATGTTTTCTTTTTCTTTTTTTATATTTTAGTTAGTATTTTTATAGAAATATAATAGTATAATTATTTTGAATATTGTTAGTATTTAAATTTGGTATTGTTTTTTTTGTATACTGGTTTTCAGTTCTATGTTACACATCGTTCATTCTACATGCCAAAGCTTAAAACAGATTAAATTTTCCAAATCATATAATATAGCAGTACGTAACAATCTATCACTCATAATCTCATGGTATGTTAATGTTTAGGTTGTTAACTAATTTATTTAGAAAGTTTAGTAAGTTAGTTAGACTTAGTCTTCAGCCACTGTCTTATCATTACTAAACTAAAAATGGTACAATTTTTTATTACAACTAGTTTTCAAGCTTAATTTGGTAAATGTTGGTTTGGCGCGCCACTAATTTCCTTTCCCACTGCCAGCATCTTGGTTGCCATCATCACAACCAAGATGGCGGCCATGTAAAAAAAAAAGAAAAAAAAAAAAGAGCTGTGCAAACACACATCTGCTAAAATGGGGAGGGGAAAGAGAAAATGAGCTGTTTTAGTTGAAAATAACAGGAAAACATTAAAACTTAATGAAATAATTTTAGTTGGTAAATTACTGAATTAATCGTGAACACAGCACTACTTTTATTGTATCCCTCTAGACTCAGATATTATCATCTCAGATATGCAGCAAGAAGTGTCAATGACCTGTGGCCGCTCACTTCCCACAACTAAGACAACTAAAACATATATTTGTATGCTTCGGTTACACATTGTGGTAATGAAAAAAAAAACAATACAAAATATTATTAAAATAATGAAAACCCAACTTACAGTTTCATATTATACATTTTTACACACTTTATTACAGGTTCCACCAAAAATAAAATCCAAAAGTTTGCAGAAAAATCAATACAATACCAGTTCCCATTTTCCAAAATTTAAATATTTATTATATTATTATATAATTAACTTCCTAAATCTAATGAAATTATAATGTAAATATGCCATTGGCGTATTAATATTATAAAAGAAAACTTAACTCTAGCAATAATCCACAAATAAACAAAGGGAAGTGAATTCTATGCAGAAGTGACATGCTGAACCATAATAATTTGTTACTAGATATTATTATTAATTAGCCCTAAACCCTAATTTTGTGATTTTGATGTTGTTTTTTTTAAATTTTACTGCTAAAAGTAACAGCAAAAATTTTAATATTTGTATGTTTTAGTTAGTTAGGCAGGCATAACTAAAATTAAAACTTGGCATTAAACTAATTTTTGCTTTTTTAATTTAGGGGCCATCCATAAAAGACGTCCACCAATTTTTTTGCTATTTTTTACCCCCCCTCCCCCTTTGTTCACTTTTG